GCATAGGTCTACACAATAATGCATGATTTACGTCACATGCATATTAATGTTACAAAAATAAATTTCGTCAGAAAGAAATAAACCAACAAATCCATCTTTAATAAGAAAAGATCATTTTTCTGTGGCTAATTTTACATCTCCAACCAACTGGCAATATTGCGTGACGATCAAACATTGCCATTGTTGATAGCTGTGTCAGTTAAATAGGATCGATCTATCGAATAAAATGTAAAAATGAATTAAGGTGTTTATTTGCTTGTCTTTGACAAAGATAAACAAATGAATCCTGTTTTTATGGTTTGACTTTAGTTAGAAAGCCAATGCAAACAGAAGAACATTGGACGGCTGTTAGCAATTTCTCGGTATTGATAAACCTGAAACTACACCGATCACCATAACCCCCGTCTACACGAACAGTCGTCATGTGTTTACTAGCAACTGGTTTCGAGGAGTAATTTCCAGGGTTCTAGTAAGAAGACGTCGAGTTTAATCATATCAGGAATGAAACAAATCTCACCAAAAGTAATAGGTAATGGTTGGATGGTATCGCGAATCGACTGTCTTTAGAAATCATTGGATGTCGTTTCACCAATCAGAAAATCAAATATTAATTATAAGGCATGAACTTTCCGAGTTAGATTCCTTGACTGGTCATGGGTGCGCATAACTGAGGAATCGCATTGTTAAGTTGGGTTCTCATTCTCTGCTCATGAACTTATATTTGTGTATTATTTTATACTACTTAATAATATTCAGTAAATAACAGTATTCCTGACAATTTCTACGCTTACGTTGTTTATTGGTCGTGTAATATTCTGAAGTATTTTGTACATATTTATAGCTTTTGTTGTATTTATTATCATTATTTTATGTCAACACATGTAACGACTACTAATAATTTTTTATAGTCTATGAGTCTTTTTTAAAACACAACGGTTTCATATTTAGACCACTTTTGTATTGCGCAAGCCGGTGGCTATCTGGACTCAGTAGCCAGATGGAAAACATGATGATGTTTGAAGCGAACGGTACTGGGCTCGAGTTCCGATGCGAAAACATCCAGCTGATTTCCAAGTAGGGTGAAACGCACGTCGTAAATTCTTCTACTAGTCACCATCCATCTCTGGTTTCCATATTTGTTTGCTTTTGGTTAGACAGACATCAGCTGTCATTTGCACGATCGTATGTCATAAATGTTCTTTATATATGAATTCAGGGAGCCTTTCTTTCTTTCAAACTTACAGACACGCTAGACTATACAGACACCTTAAAATTTGAAGTTTGTTATATAATTTATTTCTATTCCTCAATAAATTACCACATTTTAGATAAATCGTTGTTTTATGAACTTCGGTTTCGCCTGCATCTCACTGGTGTGATTAGACGCTTAGGTAGATTTAACACTTATACTGGGACGAAATACCTGTCCAGTGCCTTCGCATTTTTCAACTGAAGTCAGTCCACAATGTAGAACTACAAACTCAAATATTTCTACGATCTCCCACTCTGTTGGTGGTCAATAATGTAGTGAGTCACTGAAGTGAACTGGCCATTCTTTCTATATTTTGTTGGCTATATTTAGAGGATTAATTACGGTGAATGAAACGGTAGTTAAAAGAATTAAGGAGATCAACTGATTTAAATTATTACCAGGATATTTGTTTACATTCAAAATGTTTATTCACTATGCGAAACTTTAGTTATTTTAGGTGATAAGTTTACATTTTTACCTATTTCAAGTTCTCTTGAATGATTAGCTGAAATATTGAGAAATGTATATTTTCTTGTCTGTTTGGTGATCGAATAATTGTTGATTTCCTTCCATGTTTGAATTGTATACTGATAAGTCGATCTAGTTGTCCTCTCCGGTTAATGTGATTTATACTGTTCCATAAATTCTAGTAAGCGACTCTGACGAAAGGCAGAATAACAAAGTTTGGATATTTTCAGTTTGCAGTTGCAGAGATTGTTCAATTTCATTTACGTCATGAACCGATCAATGTTAGGCCGTCCATTGCTCCAAGGTTTTTAATGATGGTCTAGCATTGATCGGTTCATGATTTCAATGAGACTTCAGTTAATTATGCATTATAAAATAGTAGTAAATGGTAGTCATTCCGGATCAGATCATTTTTAGACATTTCTAAATAACTTGTTGGGCTTATTCGATATTCATTCAGATTTACTATAAAGATTTACATTTACGATTAATAATAAAGCTGGTTATTCAGCTATAAATTAAGACTAGATGAACAATAATGAATATTACTGATAAATAGGTATAATTACCAAGGTTCGAATAAATTGAACATTGGGTAGATTGTTATAAATAAATTAATATATTTGTAATATTCCAATGAGTAGAAAAATGAGATTTTTTGACGTTTCGTGACTTGGTGTAAGCCACTTCTTTAGAGAATAAATAACCAAACCAAAACCAATCCAAGTTTAAATAGTACAACTGAAGAAAACGAATATTATAATTTTGAGGATTTATTTACCCCTAGAGGCCATTTAACGTTCAATAACCAGAAACTAGTTCATAGTGCTAATTGACTCCTATAGTTCCATCGTACGTCCTTGTCATTTCAACACCAAGAAAGAGAATACTTTGTTTGTTTTTAACTTCTAATGTGAAATTTATTGATGGATAACAGTTATTAATGTCTGTGGAAGATGCTTCAAATAATATTTATTGTCACAAATAATATAAACATCATCCATGTACTTTTCATACAGGTGTAAGCTGCCAAAAGTTGTTTTAAGTTGATTGTTTTCCAGACTGGCCATGAAACAATCAGCTAGTAATGAACCAAGTCGAGATCCCATTGCTATGCCATCCGTTTATATATAAATTACGTCCTTCTATGAAAATTGTACACTAAAAGTGCATTGTACTAGTAATTCTTTTAAACAGGATTTTGGCAGTCCGATATTAATTCCATTATCATCTATGTATTTGCAGATAAAGCTAATGGTCTCTGTAAATGGGACATTAGTGAATTGTGATTCGACATCAAATGGAAGGATAATTTTGCTACCTACATTCACTTCTTTTATGTGATCATTGAGTTTAAAAGTATCATGTAGAGAGTGCATACAAAGACGTTTTCTTACGGTTTTCAGGAGATCTCCCAGCCGCTTTTCTATAGAGTGATAAGCAAATCCGGACATATCAAGAACTGGTCAGAGAGACAAACCAAGTTTGTGTACTTTAGATAGACTATATAGTCGTGGTATTAATGGTCCTGTTGGTTTTATGTGCACGTACATACATCTTCGTTAATTACAGGATCATTATTCATTCTCTTAAGAATTTCATTTAGTTCGGTCTTGTTTTTCTCAACCTTATCAAATATGCAGTTCGATTAGTCGCATGACATTCTGACCTGATATCTTTGTCTTAAATGTTTGTCTCTTCTTTGTTTGGGTGTTTCAGAATGTCCTGGATGTATTTCAGCTGGTATCGAATAACTTATATCTCGTTTTAGTTGACAATTAGGTGATTTCATCACTAAGTGTTTGGAAAATAAAAGTATCCTATCAAGATCTATGAAAGTCTAACGATGAAAACAGTTTACGAATTTGACGTATGAGAGATAATTATTTATTTAACCAATATGAATGTAGGGAAAAATAAATGCAAAGGGGTCATAATAGTAAATGATTAATAAGAATAAAAGATCAGAAAAAGGTATCAAGAACTAATTACTGAGTATAAAGTATTGTGTTAAGAGTATAGGATAACAGTAAAATGAAAGATTTCTCGTACAGCGTTTTTACGTAGAGTTCAGGTTTGAACAGCTCAATAGCTAAACCCTCTTTAGTTCACAACTGTTTTATTTGTACTCATTTCGATCCCAACTCTTTGACCGTATACATTGTTTAAAAGGATAAATCTGCTGTGACAGCTTGGGTAGGAATGAAGACATGTTCCGAAATTTAGCTATCGATTGTTTTCGATTCTCTTTATGAAAGCTTTGGACAGTAATGCTCAGAGATAAGTTTAGAAATCCATCGCTTAGTAGGGCTGATGTAATCTGCTCCAGAAGGAGCAATAAACTGATAGATCTACATTGGTTTGATCCAAAACAGCACTTGATCTGAAACTTTGAAAGTAATTCAGTCTTTGTTAACATACACTCATTGACTGAGCAGATTTTAGTCCTTAATATCAGCAACTAAATAATACAAATCCTTATGAATAAGCGTTCCATATGGTGAATATGTTCGTGACTTTCTGGACTCAACAGTTTAGTGGATAATGAGTTGGTGTTAGGTACTGGAACAAGGTCTCAATATGCACACTAAAGGTGGGATGCAGGTACATCCAACTAACGGGTCCCAGATACGGTGAGACGCAAGCTCTGAGTTGCAATGTCAGCCACAATCCAAATATACTGGAAACTTTTAACTAAATGTCAATACTGATACATCAACTCGGGATGCGCATATGCTGACAAAAACTGGTCAAACTTTAATCTTCAACATTGTAAACTGGATAATATAAAATCCTTATGAATAGATCAAACAATAAACTGTGAATTCCGTCCAAGTGATCGCCTGTTTTTGATTCTTTATGCAGTCGGACATTGATTAGTTAAGCTCCTTAGGAATTAAGTAATGGATTAGCCAAGTTTGATTGTGGTAATATTCCCCGATAGTTTCGGTATTGGACCGACAACTACCTTCACAATTAATAACATTACACTCCACATTAAAGTTTTATTCGTGTCAGGGTGATGTTTTCCCTAAGCTACCGTTTGAAAACGAGAGAAAGTAAGTGGATTTTAGGTATCAATCGTTGGAAAGTGGACAATATTGTTGAGGAGGTGCACCAACCTCATTGTACAAAACTGATACATGTGTTATCCTCTATTCTTAACCTCACGTAACTCTGAACGGTAATTTCGAAATAACACATGAAGAATAAATGTTTATATAATAGAATTATAAACTTGACCAAACATTTCGTTTTTACTTACCAACAGATATTTTTTATGACTTCAGGAAATGAACTTTTTGGTGAAATGAAAAACCGACTAAAATTAAGATCAATTGGACATTCAGATACTAAAGAATCGCCTTCAGAAATGTTGACGAACAATGCAGTTGAACAGCAGGAACCATCTTCACATGACAATACTTCTTCTAGCATGTCAGCGAACTCCAGTCCCAGATCATCAATATATGATGATTTTGAACAATCTGATTCGAAAACAGTATCAGATATTTTATTGGTGAGCTGTTTATTATCTATTGGTGACTTACAAGTTTCCACTTGTAATCCTAAACTATGTAAACTTCAATTACGTAACCATTTCTCACCTAACTTTCTGTCGAGAAAGTTTTTCTGATCTTTTGGAGAATTCAAAGTACATGAATCATCGGTCGTACACTACGGTATCAATTTCTACTAAATAATTAAAGAAACTGTTTCCAGATTGAGATTTATAAATAATGGGGATAAAAGTGTGAGATCTACAAGTGGGAAGTATAGTGTTTCACGTATCTTATATGACACCCAGTATTATCTAACATCATGTTAGGGTTTTTTCTTTATGTCAACAGACAGACATCATTTTCAATGGAAATAGCATTAGGACAATAATAGTATATTTTATGAGTGCGCAAAGACGCTACGATTTTGTTTTCGTTATAGGGACCTTGTCTGAGTTTTGAGTAGGTCGATGGATATAGTGTGATAGTTCCTGTGTAATGAACTGATATCAAATTTGTTCATCTTTTGATTTATTTTGATTTGATATGAAGCAAGATGTTTCATGTTATTAATGAGAGATTACTGTATTTCCGCATAACCTGCAGTTTTAATTTATCACACACAGAGGAGGTTTTTCACTGTTATACAAATAATAATTAAGGATAAAAGGCAGAATATGAGTGTAAGCAACCAGTCTTAACACAAAGTCATGACATGACGAATCCGACCGTATTGAATAACACTTACACATGACTATTTGCTGTTACACAAAAGATTAACTATTCACCTGTCCTTTTTATCGGCGTTTTCCTATTCTTATCTATCAGTAATCAATGCGGACTTTACATAAGTATATTAACAAACAACTCGGCGACATATCGAGTCCCTAAGTTCGTCAGTTGCCGCATTTGAAGTTCATCACAATTTTATGCGAATTTCGATTTCGGTCGTGTAAGAAATTTATACTCTACACTTTTCAGTAAGCTAAATAAATTAATAACTTTATTTTTGCATAGTGAATAATTGATTTTTCACTGCCTACTCATCAAAAGAAGAATTTCAGCAACGTCTGTTGTCAACAGGAAGAACAGAGTTTTCGAGATGAATCGACTTTTTGATAGTCCTATTCATAAGTCTATTTAAGCTATACCACGATTGGAAACACTGGACGGCCGTTTCGTCATAGTACGGGACTCTCCAGCAGTGTGCCTCCACAGTCCCAACCACGAGACTCGAGCCCAGGACCTCCAGTCTCGCGCGAAAATTTTCAACCTCTAGACCATTGAGTCAGCACCCGACAGTGTTAATGTCTAACTTCGATCAATTCATGATGTTTTGCACACTTCATCAATTGTCTGAGGCGGATAAATGTCTCCACTTAACACGAATTGGACTCCACTGCTGAGAAGTCCTATATTAGGATGAAACGGCCGTTCTAGGTTTCCAGGTTTTCACTGGTAGTTTAGCTTAGATCAACTCATGAATTCAACTATTAAAATTACTACGATCTTTAGAAATCCCCACTCAGATAAGAAACGATTTTTATCCGATGTGCTTTGCTATTTAATAGTGATTCATGAAGTTTGACGTTTTTAAATAGTTGGCAGCTGGAATTATGTTCTTATACTTAACAAAGCAACAAGGAAACTAGATAAAATAACCTCTTTCTGCTGTCTCTTGTACAATGTCGCTCTTCAGTAGGAAATTTATTCAGATATGTTCGTGGATATATATATATATATATATATATATATATATATATATATATATATATATATATATATATTGACTTGATGATTGTTGACTGTCAAAAAGCTTCTTACCTCTTATGAACCAAACCGTTTTTACATTTATACTGGAAAGTACCCATAACAAATCAGCGACCAATCTTCATCTGTGAAATCCTTATCCTTTATTTGGTCTATATTTGTTAAGGGAAGGAATGGTGTGAAACTCAATTTATGTCATTTATTTCCTTCAGTTGGTCTCTTTTACAAATTTTATTAAAGCCAAAACAACAATTGAATTTATCTTATTTCATGGTTTCTCATCAGCTGCTTAGAACCGTATTCGTATTGAAGTGTAACATTGAGGTATGACATAATATAGGATGAAAGACATCAGTAACATAAATAATTGGAATAATAAAGATTAACAGTGATAACTATATATAAGTAGAAAGGTGAATGCGAGGTCATTTGAAGATCGAATTAGAAAACACATAGGATAAGGGAGTAATTATACAGAGTCTGTAGACTGATAAGATGGATTGTATGATAATTTTACAAAATTTGAAGAGGTACATAAGTTTTAGATCACTAGAAGACAGAGCAACGAGATGGCAATTGTCTAGGATTCGAAATTCGTAAAATAGGTTACATTCAATAACTTTATTTTAAAATCTTGACATATTAAATGAATAATAATTAGATTTGCTTGCACTATAGAAACCGGCATGCACATCCTCGTAATTTCGAATACCTTAGCAAATAACCATTTAAAGAAACAGTCCAAAGTGATGTGGAATAAAGTTCGAAATATTTATGTGGATAATCGTTCCGATTTTACGTACTGTTCCACACATGTAAGCTATTTATTTCAATATCCTAATGAATTAATAAACGTTCTATTCAACTACTAGTTAAAGAAATCTAAGTGTCTGAATGCAAATAACTACACTTATATCAAACAAGGCAGTCATTCTTTAAATAGAATATTATTTACTACTCAATAAGTGAAGTTTTGCAATGTTATTAACGTGTCTGTCTCATAGGGTATATTTAGACTATAATCTGATTTTCACATAAATCTATAATTAACTTGATTCATTTGAGTGACATGGAAGTTAAAAATTCTTCCTGTTATTGATTTTCTTTCTCAGTTTAAAAGAAATTATGCATGTGGCAAATTTACTTTGTTCACAATAGAAAAAATACCTATGTTACGAGAGGAACTTAACTGCACTTTAGCACGAGACCAGCGAATGAATCAATTTATTTATGTCAATATTGGATTACGTATATTTCAATGTAAGAAATTTATTGGTTGTGAACTACACAATGGGGAATTTAATCAATTAACCAATAGAAAAACCGGTTATGAATCGTGAATTACAGGTGCATTAAGAAAAAGAGAATACTATTATTTCAACGTTCTACAACTACTTCATTTTCTTTAAGACAGTTTGATAAAGTAAACAGGTAAATGGACAGTGCTGAAAGCAAAATAATGAAGATTAAAGTTGTATTTCACGATCTCGAGCAAGAACGGGAACAACATTCAGTGGATGATGGAGAAGAAGACGAATACATGGATAACATTGAGCCGTTACGTCAAACTACTCAGAGAAAATCAAATGAATCCTTGCCGACTTTACTACAACGAGCTCAATCAAGTGATTCACCATTTGCTATTGGTAATAAAGAGAAAACGAGCTTGAATAAATTAACATCATCTCGTTCATTGAGTCGTGGAAATGTTAGGAGACCTAGTGAAATTTCAATTAATGATTTTCTGTCTATGCCACCAGTGCTTGAAAGTATAGATGCTCAGCGTAGATCGACATTGTATTCAGATGAAAAACACAATCCTTTAGGCAGACGTGGAAGTACGTCATCTGAAGAAAATATAGAGAAAAGTAAACCAGAAGAATCCAATGATGATGAGTGTGGTGCTGTCGACAATGAATGTGAACATGGATCACACTGAAACCGAAGGGGAAGGAGGAAAAGAAATACTAGGAATTGGAGTATACAATATCTGTGAGAGTAACTTTATACAAATGGAGCATTTTTATTATATATGCTAACGATTTTTTTCTGTTGGTCAAACTAGTTTTCTTGTTTTTGATTGATTTCTGTTATTATAATTTGTAATTTTTTTAAAGGGTATTTATTTGGTTCAAGGTTAGCTTCAAATAAATTATCTTTGGTATGCACAAAGTCAACAACAGGATAATTTCGTCATAAAAGTGAACTATCTCAAAATCTAGATTTATCGATATTCACGTGAGGGGAACCACCAAACTTCAAGTTTGCGAACGACCTTATCATCTTTGTGTATAGAAAATGCTGTGTTGCGTAAGTAATTTCCAGTTGAGGAGACATCTGTTAATGTTGCTCAGACGAAGATAAAGACATACTTTATCGTTAGCCCTTTACAACTGTGCACACAGTGAGCTCATCTCAGTATCTGGTACCATTTCTTCATATTCGTAGAAACCACTTTACTTTCTGATGAGATAGTCCTGAATGTCTCTTCTCCCGATCACTACTATTTTCTTCCTCCTATGGTTTTTTCGATGTTGTCCAACAGAACTTGTGTTGAAAAATAGTTTCGAAAATGATATAACTAAGATTACTGCTGACTAAACTAACCAGAAAATAATTTTCCGTCCATTGTTTTGGACACTAGTCATTTAAGCTACTTTGGTTTTTATAACTATTGAAGTGTATTAGTAGTAAAATAGTTATAGACAACCTCAGAGATGCTCTAAAACTCCTTGCAATTAGTGGAAAATTCTAGCACATCAAACATTTACAATTCGAGTTCGAAAGTAAGCACTAGACTCAACAGCTTGCATGCAACTCACTGTTTCCCTTTTGGAGTGTTGATACGATATTCTAATCTGACATTCCATAACCACTCAAATTGGCAATTTTCGGACACACTGTCATAACGAATCATTCACTTAGCGGGTTGTTGAGAGTCAGAGTGAATATTAGTGATCTGCATTGAAATTATCATCATGTATTTATCACGAATAAATTCAAGAGTTAAGTACAGTGCATAGACGTAACTCGAGTCACTAACTGATATATAGATTCCTACTCACTTGCTTAACTGTGACCCTGTTAATCATAAAATATAAGGCTTCCTGAGTTCAATAGCATTTGATGTTGCGGGTCCAGTGATTACTATAATGATAATAATTAGTGAGGAATGCTATCTTAATGAATAAAACGGTGACGTATATATATTTAGATATTCGGTTCTACCAACTAGGTAAGATTGAACAGTGGCACCATATGAGTAACCTAGTTAGTAGTAGAATCCATTTTTTTGTATTGAAAAACAAATTAATTTATCGACAAAATTTGTAGTGACACATTATTATTTATCAAATTTAGTTAACAGGTTTTTATGAAATTGTTGTATTTTGTTTAATTTAATTCATTCGCTGATCCCAAGGAGCTGGAAATACCAAAAGTATGTAATCCACTGGGAAATTATAGTTTATAATTGCAAATTATCAATAATCTGCATTAGCTTGTATTAGATTATGAACCTGTATATTTATAGCGTGTCGAAAAAACTGCCGGCTAGATAAGTTAATGAAAACTCTTCGAACAATCTCAAAAAAATATATATTAAATTTTTTGTTTCATGATTATATGTTATAGGATTCCATAATATGATTGTAACTTATAAAAATGTTATTCTTTTTTATAATGGACTATGATACAGCAGTGTCAATGAGGAGGCGTTTCGCGTGTTTGAGTAAAATTAAACTTCCTCATCAAAATTGTTTTGGCACACTCATCTATGCAGCGTACTTTGACTGAAAAAAATAAAAACCTATAAAGATGATCTCGGTAATTATTATAAATATACATCCCAAAGGTGAAGTCGAACTGCTGACTGTACAGGGGTGTGACAACAGTAAGATGTTTCCTTCAGACAACCAGCATGACAGTGATGCTGCCTTCCCACAAGGAGGTGTGGGGTTAGAAAAGGTCGACCCTAAAAATGCACACCTAGCCTTATCCCACGGATATTCGTTTCCGACGGTAAGGTCCCAACAAGCACGAAGCTAACACAAAAATTACCCATAAAAATGTCGTGTGTGACCGACCTCAAGCAGCTGTCCCTTGGCACTGTGGTCAGGCTCCCAGGTCACTAAAACCACCTCTAATCTAATTTCCTTTTCAGGTACCTCCAGAACAACCCTTCCACAGTGTGGGCAATCGGGAAGTAAAAACCGCTTTCATACTTCAAACAGCACTCAAGACCACTGTATTCATAATCAACATCCGTCTTCACTTCCTATTTTTCCTCCTACATCGACTTTCACCTCTAAACTTCCTTTTTCGGCTTCCCCCTCAAATGTCACCATAGCCAACGATCCTAGTGCTCAAAACACTGTTCCAGGTCTACTGAATCTTCTCTCAAAACTATACATTGGAGACTTCAACGTACGTACCCTATGTCAAATCGGTCAATAATCTTCCTTGGCTAGAACCCTAGAATCTCGTACCATTGATGTATGCTGTCTCTGAAACACACACACACAAGATCTCAGTGTGGTCATTCACTTGACCTCACCTCGGCAAAACGGAGAGCCAACGAGATACATCACCCGTGTATCTGGTGACCCGATGGCCAGTTCTCATGGACCGGCAGGTGTAGGCGTAGCACTAAGCATGAGGGCGGAACAAGCACTGTTAGAGTGGATCCCCGTCAACAGTCGTTCATGTGCTGTTCGGCTAAACGGCTACGTAAGAACTCGGAATAATAGGGACACAAGTCGTCGCCTTTTTGTCATTTCTGCCTACGCTCCCACCGACTGCAGCTCAGATGAAGTGACAGATGAATTTTAAAGAAAGCTAGACGTTCAAACATAGTACTCGTAGCAGGTGACTTTAATGCACAAATAGGTAGTTTAAACCAAACAGAAAGGCATTTAGGTGGATATTTTAGTATTCCAACACAGCGAACAGATAATGGTGACCGTCTGCTGCAACTGTGCTCAGACAATCTTTCATTTTTAGCAAGAACAAATTTTAAGCATAAGGAGAGACATCGTCTAACCTGGCGACCTCCTACACCAAACCAACGATGGACTCAAATAGACCATATTGCCATCAGTCATCGTTGGAGAGGGTCGGTAGAAGATTGTCGCTCATTCTGGAGTACCTGCTTGGACTCCGACCATGCCATGATACGAGCACGCATCTGCTTGTGCCTCACTGGATGCAAAAAAGCCACACTAAAAAGACCCATTAGAACTGAATTGTGTAGCAAGAAAACCAAAAGTAGTTTCCAGGAACAACTGAGGTTACACTTAGGTAGTTCTGAAAAGGATGCTGACCCAGATGTTGCTTGGAAAGACATACAAGCAACTGTGGAAACAGTGACCTCTGTTAGTGATTTAAACCACATGGTTACAAAGAACCAATGGATTCCCTCAAGGTCTATTGCACTGATGGATTCTCGTAAACTCACCCCATCGGGTTCTGAACACGATGAAGAGCGACAACAAATCAGATCTAGGTTAAGAAAAAGTCTAAGAAACGACCGTAAGCAGTGGTGGGCAACGAAAGCAAAAGAGATGGAAAGGGCGGCGACTTTAGGGAACACAAAACAGCTTTACAGACTAGTAAAAGAAACCGGAATAAATAAGTCAAGTTTAAGTCAGACTATTTCGGAAAAAGACGACACCCTCATCTGCCCCCAGTCCAGGCCCGTTTACGATGATGGGCGTAACATTTTAGAGAACAGTTCAGCTGGCCTTCAGCTACTCTGCAACTAGCCTCCATTCCCAGACAGTGTGAATGGAACATTGAAGTAGGTCCCCTAACTCTTGCTGAAGTTCAAAAGGCTATAGTTAGTCTGAAACGAGGAAGGGCAGATTATCCAGATGGATTGGTGGTCCAATTTTAGCGATTAGGTTGACTAATATTTTAGATAAGATCTGGGAGTTAGACGTTATTCCATATGACTAGTCATAATCACTTATCGTCCCAATATATAAGAGACGGTTACAATCATCCTGTAACAACCATAGAGGGATTAGTTTAACTAATATAGTATCGAGAATACTAGCCTCGATAATTATCAGACGCCTAACTAAGACTCGTGAAATGCAAACACGAGAGAATCAAGCTGGCTTCAGACCTGGTCATGGCTGCATCGACCATATATTCGCCATTCGTCAGGTTCTAGAACACAGGCATACCTACCGGCGTCCGACGATGGTGTTATTTCTTGACTTAAAAGCAGCATTTGACTCCGTAGACCGCGAGATTCTGTGGCAGTGTCTGTCATTGAATGGCGTACCTCAGAAGTACATAAACCTTGTAAAGGCTCTTTACTTGAACACTACTAGTCGAGTGAGAGCTTATGGCGAACTGTCATCTACTTTTGCAACCTCAAGCGGCATCTGTCAAGACTGTCCACTTTCTCCATTTTTGTTTAACTTCATCATAGACCTATTGATGGAAATAACATTCTCGTCGACTGAATTCTCGGGTATTGATCTCCATCCAGGAGGTCCACTTATCGACTTAGAATACGCAGATGATATAGTCCTGTTTGGTGAAGACGCTGACAAAATGCAGAGCCTTCTGGTAGCACTACGCAACAATGTCAGAATGTTCGGAATGCGCTTCTCTCCCTCTAAATGCAAGTTGTTGCTTCAGGACTGGTCTGCGTTAACACCTAAACTTAGGATAAAGAGTGAAGTAGTCGAACGCAATAATAACACAAAGTAATTGTTCACTAGTCAATCAAAACTTAGTTGGTCTGTGTACGTCAAAAATGTCGCATTAGTAATTAGCTAATAAGTAAAAAAGAATACAGCCTGTTTATATTGGAAATTGGCATGTTTTTCCCTTAATATACATTTTTTTAAATTCCGTAGTTAAAACATCAAAAATAATACACAGTCACATGACATGAAATACTGTAAGGAATTTACGTGAACCGACATGTCTTTGGAGTGTTTTCTAAACATCTGAACTGGGAATTGACTGATGATTTTCTAGAGGTGAAGCCGTGGCTTAGTGATTAAGGCGTTCGATTTCCAGCCGCTAAGTCCCAAGTTCAAATTCTGCTTTGCTTACTTCAGTTTGGGTGGCCTGTTAGTATCATTAGCCCTCGTATTTAGAGTGAAAATTTCAATAGAATTTATAAGGTTATAATAATTTTGTTTCGTATAAAAAAGTTTGGGAAGGAAAACTCCAGAACGTTGAATTAGTGATTAGAATTCATGGAGTTAACAAACATTAGACGATTGTGTAATGAAGCAACTGAATGTAGATTAATGGTGATAAAGAACGATATGAATTGAAGGAAAATGACAATGATGTAATTAAACTTCAGAAAAAGTTGAAATAATGAATGACATAAATAAAATGGGGTTGACTGTTGCCAGGGTAAAGAAAGACTTATTACTGCCTCTTTTTGGGTACATAAATCTGGTTTTAGACCTTTGATTGCTATCGCTTCGGCAAATTTCAAAAGGTTGGATTTTGATTTTTTGCTAATTACCTTGAATCGGAAGCAGGCTCTCTTTTCTGTTCTACCAATGTAACTGCTTCGGCAGATACATTTAAATTTACATACGCAGTTGGTGGTAACATGGAAGGGATACCTATCGACCTTTGATTGTGTTAAAGAACATGTTATTTTGGACAGGACAATAAATTTAGCTGAAGTTCTTGTCAATGCAGATTTTAGTCTCATATGTGTAGGAGTGATTTTTCTTCGAACTAGTGGGATTATCAGACGAGCCCTTAATCATAATAGACACAAAATGTTCAGAAACGCTTTAATATTAGATTTAAAGTGCTGTCAGTTCCTACGAATATCTAGCCTTATTCAAAGGTAATTGGAGCTACAACGCGAACTTAGGGGAGAAAAAGCCTGAGTAAGTATTTTATAGGATTCATTTTGACATTTATGTAATTCTTCTCGAATGAAAATTTGGTACGAAACAATAGCTACAATGACCAAATACAAAAGCATTTTCGTTGTTAAATTCTCTTCGCCGGCAAATCACAAAACTACACGTATCAATCTAGACAAAGTTACTCTCAAAATAATATCTATTAACTCTAGTGAAATTTTGAATTCAATAGCACCCACCAGTGATCAGTGAAGTGTAGTACATATTATCAACCGAGGTCGGAAATTGCTTATTTATTTATTTGAACACATAAATATTGGTACAAGAATGCGCCACACAAAACAATGAGAATTTAAGGGGAAGGAAAAGAAAAAGAAGAGAAAGAATAATAACGAAGAGAGTGATGTAGGGTGGTGTAATAATAATAATGGTAAAAATGGGGCAACGGAAAGGTACAATCAGAAGAAATCTTTCAGTTAAGGAAGACACTTCCACTTTTTATGAAGAAAATAAAAGAAGGTTACAGCAGGATCGCCACAGGCTTCTATTCTGAGCCATATCTGATAACGTCTCTAGCCACTGTGTTGTACCATCTATCGGACCCCAACCAGGGAGTCGTGAAGGACCAACACAAGCCAGTTCTGTAAAGCTTCCTTTCATACCACGACACCATGTCATATAATGATCACTTCTCCGCTTTCTTCAACCAGTCTCAGAGTCGGCAAATAATGCACGACGTGGAATTCCCTGGGACGACATTCATAGAACATGTCCAAGCCACCGAAGTCGGTGTTTCAAGATGGTGACAACAATTGCATTATCGTCTCTGTGCCCGAACACACGATGCCGAACCTTTGGATTACTAAAATGGAGCAGCCATGGATGTCAGCAATCCGTCGGGGACAACGATGATCAAACACAGCGAGTCGTCCAACATCCTCAACTCGCAGAGGTCGAGTTTCACAAGCATAGAGAAAAACTGCTTGTAAAAACTGTTGTAAATCCGGCCTTTTACAGCCAGACTAACGTGACAAAGGCGCCAAAGATGTCCAAGATAGGAACAAGCCGCTCTGGCTTTCACTATACGTGCATTGATCTCATCACTCACACCCCGATCAGCACTTATGCAGCTACCCAGATACACGAACTTCTCGACTACGTCTATCTGCTCACCATCCAGGGTGAGTACAGGATAGGAATCCTGCCAGTCTTGTAGGAGTACTTTGCACTTCGAAGGTCCAAAGCACATACCATATCTACGGACACTGATTGCCAACTGATTAAGTGCGGATTGCATGCCTTGGGCATTATCGCACAGTAAGACAATATTGTCCGCATACTCAAGGTCGAGAAGTCTTTCTCCAGGCAACAGATCCACACCACCATTACTTACATTCATCAGAGCTGTTTCCAGAATGTCATCGATGGCAAAGTTGAAGAGGAATGGTGAGATTGGGCAACCCTGCCTAACGCCACTACTCGAATGGAACAATGGAGAGAGGTGGTTGTATGCCCCCACTGTGCCTGAGGTGTTTTTATATAAGGCCTTTAGGATGTTAATAAACTTCTCAGGCACACCCTTCTTCAATAGACAATCCCAGAGAACAGTCCTATCCAACGAATCGAAGGCAGCCCTGATGTCAAGAAACACTACGATTGTTGGCCTTTGATAAGTATGGCGATGTTCTAACATTTGGCGGAGGGTGAAGATATGATCAATACATCCTCGACCAGAACGAAACCCAGCCTGCTCCTCGCGAGTCAATCTTTCTCGGGTTTTGAACAACCTACGAAGTATGACGGAAGCAAATAGCTTGGACGCAATCGGAAGTAGACTTATCCCCAGATCGTTGTTACAGGAACGACGTGAACTCTTTTTAAAGATAGGGACAACTATCGACTCATTCCATGACGTTGGTACACTCTCTAGTTCCCAAACCTTTGTAAACAACGTCGTCAATTCCTTAGTCAAAAAGTCACCACCATCTTTAAAAAGAGCCGGAGGTAAGTCACTTGGGTCAGGTGATTTGTAGCGCTTCGAGAGTTGGAGTTCCTTGCGGACTTCCTTCTCGTTTGGTGGATCAGTCGTCACCGGCCATGGAGGGCAGGACAGTCTGACCGATGTTGCCGGAGCAGCAGGCCAGTTGAACTGCCCTTCGAAAAATTCTGCCCATCGTCCAAGACGTCGATGGATGTTAGTGATTGGCATCCCGTCATCCTCACAGATTGTTTCGCTCACACCAGACTTCTTGCTGCTAGTGGCTCGAATGAGTTGGAAGAGCTTACGGTAGTTACCAGATGCAGCTGCTGCTTCCAGCTCATTAGCATACTCCGACCACCAGGCTTCTCGGTCCTTACGCAAGCTTTGCCCGATTTTCTTACGTAACATCCTTCGTTTATGGTCAAACTCACGGTCACCCGGAGTAGACCGACGGGCTTCAATGAGTTGTAAGGAACCAGAAGAAACCCAGTGCTTAAAAGCGGGACGTTTCACAAACCCATAACTGACTGTACCCGCCATTTTCATGGCGTCATGCAATTGCAACCAATGCTCATCTATACTTTTCGGTGGAATGGTAGCTAGCCTACAAGCTAGCTCGGTTCGATACTTACTTGCAACAGAAGTTGCAACCAGCTTGCTAATATCAATCCGTTGATGGCGGTCACTTCTTTGTCCACTGAAAAGTAAATTAAGATTGGCGCACACCAAAGCATAATCAGATTCCAGATAGGTACTCGAAAAGGAGCGGCAGTCTTGTACACAACCACGCCAGCGGTAGCTGATCGCGATGTGATCAATCTGAGTCCAGGTTTGAGATGCAGAGGGAGGACGCCGGGTGGCAAATCGGCGATGACTGTGCCGAAAGTTAGTGCTAGCCAGAAACAGGTTGTGGTCTGTGCACAGTTGCAGTAGACGGTCCCCGTTACCTGTCCTGCGACCAACAAGTCCCCATCGGCCACCTAAACGACTCTCTTCTGTGCCTAGACGCCCGACCTGAGCATTGAATTCTCCAGGTAATACTACAACATCTGTCGAACGCACTTTCTGGAGAAGAACAGTTAACTGGTGGTAGGATTCATCCTCGATTGCATCCGGGCTGGAATCTCTCGGAGCATAGGCGGAGATGACGAAAAGACATCATTTCTCACGCCGATTTCTTCTCACTTTGATGGAACTCTCTAATCTAACAGCACATAACCGACTGTTAATGGGGATCCAATCGATTAGTGCTGCCTCAGCTCTAGCGCTTAGTGCGACACCAACGCCAGCAAGACCAGACGAAGATGCCACAGGGTCCCCGGATAAGCGCACGTAAAACAAGTCTTTCGAAGCGACAGATGGAGAGCGAATTTGTAGTACTTCACCAGAGTCTTGAATACGGGTCTCGGATAGACAGCAGACATCGATATTAAGACTCTCTAAAGACATAACCAGCCCTATCTGTTGTCCAACCTGCATAAGTGTATGAACGTTGAAGGCAGCCTGTTTGAATGGTGCACGTGGTTTCAGAAAAACTGCTTCAGTACTCATATTCATTGGTAACATACAATTTTCAACCGGACAGTGACTCGAGAACGTTTAGATAGAGTCGAATTTCCACCAAAGACGAGCCGCTGTATAAGTATAAAAGAGGGTGAATAATGTGGGAAACAATAATAATAATAATAATAATAATAATAATAACGACAATAATAGTAATAATAATAGTATTGATAATGACAATAATAGTAATGATAATTATTTGAATCGACTGATTGTTTTTCGGAGCGATAAAAGTAGTTGCCAAAGACATAGAGTTCATCAGAATTGTGTGTGGGTTGCGATACTGCCCGGGCGCCCAGACCGAAGCAGGTGGTTTTCCTAGGGGACCACACCTCGAGCCTTTGACCTAATGGTCTAACCCACAAGGCAGTGGAGCATCGTAAGGAGATGCAGTCCGATGGTAGCTGGTGACAAATAAATTGGTTCATACGCCATTTGTTCCCTCAGGATACTGGAGCCCATGTGCACTATTGGTTTAGGATCCGGTTAAAGCGCCGGACATTCGCTTTTCGTCCTCTCATTTTCGTAAACAACACCCTCGCCACGAGAAGGCACTGAGTAAGACTTCCCTGGCAGAGGTTGTATTAGCGTGGCCGTATGAGAGTATTTCGAGAGTGAGGGCGGACCCATCCCGCTCTCGGCCATACCAGGGCATTTGGGAGCAATTGCTTAGTTACATAAAGAATAAATTTTGGTGGGAATATATTCATCGTAGCATGTTTGCTAATTTATATTCAGAGGGTAACTGAAACCCCGATATCTATATCACGAATCACATTAAGAGATAAATCCTTTTAATTTAAATCAGAATGTTCAGATGTACTGCAACAAAAAACAGAATTCAAAATTACACACTACCATACGTATTCTGTGCAATGAACAAACAAACTTAGGGCATAAATACCTTGTTTACAAAATGTAAGGTACATCAATCTTGTATTATCAAAACATTCCTCAATCATGGCAATGGATACATTCTATTTCCACTATACAAAATTAATAGGGAAGTCCCTCTCATTATTCCGTTCCGTGGAATCGTGTACACAGACGATTTCCTCAATCTCAGTTCATAGGGAATCACCTAGAGAACGAATCGCCGATCATAAAGTATTAGACACCACAAACATTTCACCAACGAATGAGATCAGTGGTTGTTCTAGCCTTGCATTATCCTATCCGTATACACGGCTCTTACTTAAATATATCTACCATTTGAAAACTGTTTACCGCAATGTCATACCACAAAAAAGGGTTTTGTGGCTCACCCCAATTCTTTCCGATTTTCTTCAAAAGCTTTAATAGTTCGTTTTGCGTATTTATTTGACAGACTAGTTAAGACAGTTAGAGCTTTTGTAAGCCAAATGTATGCTTATCACTAGTTTTTTTAAAACGACTTAGCATTTCGACTACAACCCTTAACGTGACACGGAAAGAAACTACTCAGTCAAGTTTTCGTAAAAATGTTTACCTATGAAGCTATTGGAAACGCACTGGATTCATGAAATTCTATTGCTTATTAAACAAAAGGAATATGTGATCACTGCCATTCGAAAATAGCACATTAGAAATCCAAGCACAAGACACTCGAATTATCAGTATTAAATTCCGTACTATGAGACAGTTTTTAACGTAAGGCATTGGGATGTACAAAAAGACCAAGGGCAAAAGAAGTCTAATTATGACTCATCTGTCAAATCATATTACTGACAGACAACAGTGAAAAGTTCTAGCTTATTTAGAATTTAATTTTGGTTTTGAGTCTCCCGATTGGCCTTCGAAATTGGGAGATTTTAGCAAATTCTCATCATGTGAACTGGAATCCCGAAATGCTGGGAACGCTTCCCAAGGAGAGTTGAACTCGAACCGCCTGAATTCCTGAGCCAATTCAACGGGTTCGATAACCACGCGATAGTATTGGTCGTCAAATCTCACCTGAAAAACAAGAGTTAATACCACATAGTCAAGTATCCACTTAGTTTAACCTAACTTATTTATAAGAAATGAAGTTATCATTGTCAGCACTATCAATAAATAAGATTAAAAATAACATACTATTAAATATGTAACGAAGCTACCACCTTTAAAAAGTTAAAAGCCAGATGCATTCATCTGGACTGTTAGGTCGTTGATTGACCAATGTCATAAATGGAATAAACTAGTTAAAACATTCATCGACCATTAACTAGGAGAATGTGCATAGTGTGAGGTACTTATTTGTACAACTTGTAATGAGGAAATATTCAGTGTATTAGGCTTCGAGTTAGTCTTAGTGAGAACGCTAGAAGTACTACTTGGCTGTGAAAACCTATAATGATGGAGCAAGATGTTCGATTCGCGACCAGAATGTTAAAAGTTGAGTGATCGAATCACTGATACACAACTCTACAGATACTTATAAATGTTATGTGAGCTTGTAAAAATAAAATACACATTCAGTACTGCTAAAACAATTTTTAAAAATCCAAAAATAGGTTGAGATAAGCGGATACAGTTGTAGGGTTTTAACACGGGCTGTTACAAAAATGTCTTGTCATAAACGACGTAAACTGTTTTTTAAAAATTCATAAATTCCGATAATCAAACGTGGATTTTCCCTAAATACTGACAGTTATGGACACCGAGTGAAAAATATACTAACCTATCTACACAGACCTCAGAAAATCCAGAGACCGTGGTTACAACCTCAGCTAAGAATTTTATTAAACCCAAAAGAATGGTTAAAATACATGAATTTATTGTGTCCTTCGAAACATGATGAAAAACTAGCCGTATCAGCACATATGCGTCTGAGCTTTAACCCGTAGGCCTCAGGTTCATACGCCACCTTACATATTTCAGTTTGGGCAACTGGGTAGTATAGCTAATCATTAAATAAATAAAGTGAGGTTAAAAGGTGAGCACATTAATCTGTACTTGATACATGGTTAAACCAAGATGTAACATGAAGTAAAATAGCTTTCTATGCCATTCTATTCGGCAAATGGTATTGATAAGTCTTTCTACTGTAACTGAATGGTCTAGGTTACTAATGGCAGTGTCAAGGGGAAATACATTTATGTGGTCGAGTTAACTGGACCAGCAAAGTTGATGCGTACTACGGACCATGGGTATTTCATGTGATTACAGGGTAAGGTACACTCATTCAGTAAGCTTTTGTGCTAGGTGAGGCTGGAATAAGAACTTTGTGACCTAGTTCACACAGGAACATAGGGAAAATTTCGGGCAACTGATTTCCTGTAGGGATTTTAAGATTATAAATGTAGAAATGAAGCACTCTGGATTATCAAACGGTTTTCGAATTGCATACAATGGTCTAAAATAAAGATTCTTGTTCACGAAAAGCCACTAAGAGAAGTTTTGGTCGTCAACTCGTAACTAATTTTATTGTTTTTAGAATGATCAAACGATCAGGTATTTCTAGCCGGATAAATGTTAGTTACGGAGAGAGACAGCTAAGACGACATGACATGGTGCATCGCATAACCTCCTATAAGTAGAACTGAGATACTTGCTCCTCTCGATGTGAACTATTTAAGCCTAGATAAAGAGTTTGCTTGTTTGAAGTCTTATTTGTGGAGATGATGAGTTATAAAACCCAACTTTCAAAAGAGCTAGTGTCTAATTATGAAACCTGTCAGTTGTACGTGTCAGGATATCACATATGTAGTCAAACACAATAAAGAAAAATATACATCTCTGGTCATACATGAATTAACTCAAATGTCGACCTGTGGAGAGTAATACTATTTCTTGTTTTTTTATTTAAAAGCAATTTTCACCTGAAGTTGATGCTCTTTTCATTCGTTAAGTTGACCAATTTATTTTGAACTGCATTTCTTATGTTTAGTTGATGTTGATGTATCTACTACCTTGCATCTTCTTAGTTACCTTTCCTATGATAATGATGTGAAGTACAATAACTCAGAATAACACATAATTATGCGTCTTGCTCCTTTCATGTATCTATACATGTATACAATAAGTCATACAATAAACGTTGGAACGATAATTTAGTGGCATTAAGACTGAAAATAAATGTGGAAGCCAGAGTAATTAAAAGATTTCATCTTCATACCTCTGTATATCCACTTAGAGGAAAATCTCTCCGTTGAGGATGCCCTATAAAACCATAGTCAGTAAGGATCCGACGAAGATCCGGATGATCATAGAAAAACACACCGTACATGTCCCACACCTCCCGTTCATACCAATTTGATGCTTGAAAGATGGAACAAGACGAGTCGATCGGAGTAAGTTCGTCTGTGTAGGTCAAGACACGAATTCGAGAGTTATACCTCAAAGAAAGAAGATTATAAACAATCTACAATGATCAAACGAGAAAAACACAAACAATACCTGGAACCTATATTTTCTTGATGGTATATCAACAGCAGTAATATCCGAAAGGTTTAAGAATTGAGCACTGTGATGACATTTCAGGAATGAAAGAACTGGAATAACTCCATCAGGATGAATACAAATTTCAAGTTCTTTGGTATGACCTATTTGCACCTTTTGGACAAACTTAGGTAAACATTCACCAACATAAACGCCGAATGATGATAGTCTCTTAATCTCTTGTTCATCAGCTGGAGTTTGTTGTTTCACTTCATGTTCATTAGTACTACTCACGAATGACGAGTAACGGTAGACGGGAAACGTAAATACAGCTTTACTAATACCTAGAATCCAGTAAAAATTCCACCGAAGGCGCACTTACACTTCAGCAATTCTCTAGAAGGACGCATGAAATTTAGCATTTCGAGGACGTCAGTCAGCCTAAAATCTAAATAAAGACAGTAAAAACTGAAGTATTGATATTGACATAAAACTAGTTTTGGTGATCCACACCTAGTAGTAATGCTAAAGATTTACTTCACAAATTATAAGACAGTAATTACACTATCACTAAACTTAAGCTTCTAGTTATAAAAGAAAACTGAATAAACATTGAAAACACAGAATGGTGACGTGATAAATATCTAATCCACTGAACTATTCAATAGAAAATTAAGGCAAACAACTGATAACAGCTTAAAAGATGCGGGACAGATCCTATAAAGCTGACTTTTCGCAGCACACCTGGAATCTGCCACTGAAAGAGCTTGAGGTTTTAACTCGTTTTTTAGCAAGTCCGGAGGAAGCAAGGATAAAAGACTGATTTATTACATCGACATTAAAACTGAAGATATGAAGTTAAAAGTCGTTGTATCACAACTAATATCCATTTGTGGTTGAAGCCCTAGCTGTAACTGCACTCCAACACCAAACCTTATAAATCTAAAGTAAACCCGATTTCATAGTTGCCCTACTTTTGTTTATGCGACCCTGAAGGGTTAAAGTGACAGTTGTCAGTAGTAAGCATAGTAGGTTGGTGAACCTGTGATAATCCTGACAGATTGCCTTACAAAGAAGGTCCAGCGTTTCTTTGAAAATATTCACTGATGGGGCTAATGCCACTTCTTGGAGTAGGGCGGTCTAGTGATTGACTAGTCGATGAGAAAAACGGGACCCAACTGTCGACATACAAATCGAAATGAAGCGAACTAAGTTTAGTTCGATAGTAGATGTCTCACGCCGGTCAAAGAAGGAAAAGCAGTCTCCAAAGGGGCCTGCCTTAAACAAAAGCTCAAGGAAAGTAGGTTCTTCTGTTCCCCGTCTCCCAGATGGGATCCCACAGGAAACGCATGGAAGCCGCAACCGCAAGGCTCGATCGGTTTCAAGCGGTAAACATAACCTGACCTCTCAGGTCGTCGACAACCCTCCAGAATCCAACACTAGGTGTGATGCAACTGTTGTTAATTCTCCCAGCACCGTTGACGAGTGGGTACAGTTTGTAAGGAAGAAAAGAAGTGGCGATATAAAAGGTAATCCTACCCCCGCGAAAGTAGTCGTGAAATCGAAAGCTGATCATAGCGACAGATCAGTTATTTTTCATTAAATCATGGAGAGCGAGAGCTCTGAACCTAAAGCTCGTTTTGAGCATGACATTGTGCTGATTAAGCAGCTGCTTAATCAACTCATGCCTCAAAATATCACTGGGGTCACTTTGCCAAGGGTGTATAGACTAGGTAGTCTAACGGACTTGAAACCAAATCATTCCAGACTGCTTAAACTAGTATTCAACTCTTCGAACGAACGTGACCTAATTTTACAGAATGGACACAAATTAAAGGGTTCAGGAGTCTTTATACGAAAGGACTTACCGTTGGCAGACCGTGTAAAAAGACGGGAAGCCGAGAAGGAACTACAACTTAGGTTAGACGCTGGCAAAAAGGACCTGAAAATTGTAAATTTTCGGTTGTAAGACTTCGACAGAGAATGATGCCGAAGCCACTCTGGGTGAAGCACGAAGCCACTTAAATAGGCTTCAGATCTGCTACACTAATGCCCGGAGCTTACTTAATAAGCGATCGGAACTAGGTGTAAAGATTGACTCTACAAAGCCAGACATAAACACAGTTACAGAAACCTGGCTGACACAGGCTATAGATAGTATGAAACTTGATTTCGAGGGTTTTACGTTAGTAAGGGCCGACAGATTACAAAAGCGTAAAGAAGGGGGAGTAGCTCTATTCATTAGAAATGCTATCCCATTTGCCATTATCGACAGTGTATCCCATGAGAGTGGGACGTGTGAATTAGTTAGTCTCCGCTTGAAATGCAAGGGACAAGAGCTGCTGATTGGTTTGGTCTATCGCAGTCCAAGCTGTGAGGTATATGAGATCCTGTTAAGCAGTCTCAATACTTGGTCCCAAAGTGGTCGATGTCTAATCCTAGGGTCAGCCCAATCAAAGACCTAACGTCTGGATATACCAGATATCATGCACTCGGCATCGTTAGTAGATTGGACAATAAACCCAGGGTCCTCAGTTGAAACGGCCTGGGACGGATTTCGAAATTCATACTTGAAAGTTACCACACCCCACATCCCTTGGACTATACCAAGGGGACCGAGAAACTCCCCACCATGGTTCAGTAGGGAGGTCCGCATCCTTCTCCGTAAGAGAAGAAAAATGTGGGATAGATTTAGGTTACTGGGGACTGATGAAACTAAATCCCAGTATGGAAAATCCGGAATATCTGTGCCTCGACCCTCCGTAAGTCTAGAAAATTGTACGAAGAAAAGATTGTTAAGGACTCCATAGAATATCCTAAACGCTTGTATTCTTATATAAACCAAAATACGAAGAGAAGAGGAAATATTCCTGCTCTGTGGGGAGACAGTGCTGCCGCGTCACTGGTGGAGGACGACTTTGGTAAGGCTCACGTGTTCTTAAACTACTTTAGCGATGTATACACCATATAAGCACTCGTCACGTCAGCGCATACAGATCCCCCCACACATACACTGGATAGCGTGACGATTAAAGAACTCGATGTCTTTGGTCTACTAAATAAGCTTGACATAGGTAAATCCACGGGGCCCGATGAATTACATCCTAGGCTACTGAAGGAATTATCTAACTTCGTTGCGAACCTTTTAATTATATGCTTTAACCTATCCGTAAAGCAATGTCGTTTACCTAAAGACTGGAAAAACGCCATAGTAAGTTCTGTCTCCAAAACAGGTACGAAACACAAACCTGAGAATTACTGCCCCGTTAGCCTAACTAGTGTGGCTGTTAAAATCATAGAAAAGATTATTCGGAAGGAGCTGTTTAAGTATCTCGATAAAAACGGATCCTTTCGTAGAAACAGCACGGTTTCAGAATAGGTTACTCTTGTCTCACTAACTTATTAGTGGCTCGTGAAAGCTGGTGCGCTCTTAAGGACCGAAAGCTACCTGTGGACATAGCCTTCATTGATTTCAACAAAGCTTTTGACAAGGTTCCGCACAACCGGCTGTTATATAAGTTAATAAATGTCGGGATTGGAGGCAATCTATTTATGTGGATAAAAGACTTCTTAGTTGGGCGTGAACAAAGAGTTCGGGTGAACTCAAAGTTATCTAGCTGGGGAATTGTGCTTGGTGGAGTGCCCCAGGGTACAGTTTTGGGGCCAGTGCTATTCCTCTTGTATGTAAATGCTCTTCTGCGTCTCATATCATCATTGATCTTGCTGTATGCTGACGATGTCAAGATATGGAGAACGATACGATGTGAGGGTGATAGCTTAGAACTCCAAAATGACCTGCAGAAATTATCTGAATGGTCTCAAACATGGCAGTTGCCGATAAATACTTTCAAGTGTGTTGTGATGCATATCGGTCATCAAGGTACAGATACATACACGATGAATAACACTGAGCTACCTGTCGTCCAGGCATATAATGACTTAGAAGTCATCGTTAGCCAGGGCTTAAAGACTACCTCACATTGCAAGGCTTTTAGTCATGTCGACGCTAAGACGTTCTTGACTTTGTATACAGTGTTCGTTCGTCCTAAACTTGAGTACTGCATACAAGCGGCCAGCTCCTGCTTAAAAAAAGACAGTGAGCTTCAGGAAAAGGTTCAGAGAACGGCAACTAAGCTGATTCCCGGAATAGTGAAGCTTCCGTATGAAGCTCGACTGGACAAGCTGAACGTTTTCCCGTTGTTATATCGCAGAACAAGAGGCGACGTGATTACATTTTTAAAATTGCTTAGTGCCAAATTCACACCTGATATACCCTCATTTTTCTTGTCTTCTAAAACAGAGAATTTACGAGGACACTCCAGAAGAGTTCACAAGCCAAGAACAAATTACTTGTCAGCTGACTATCGACTTTCCCATCGAATCATCAACGAGTGGAACTCATTAACTCAGCACGTGGTTGAGGCTCCATCCATCGACTCTTTCAAACGAAAGTTGGATCAACTGAGTGACCACCATTGCCAGGACTAACACAGGCCATCAGACCTCCTGTCCTTCCCAAACTGAAACTGATACTGAAATCATGATCAAAGATACGAAATGCCAGCATAAGGTCAGCTCAAGTCCAGCTGTGGAAATAGGTCTGACAAGCTTATTTCGTAAATAGTTTTTAATATTATTTGTATTTATTTTGCTAACCGTTAACTGTCTGTATATTTATCATTAAATGATTGTACCTGTTGTTTTAGTAAATGACCTTGAACACACTTTCCGTTGTGATACTGACATAGCGTGATACACTTGTGGTTGTTCGCAAATACACTTTCACACACACACTCATTGTTCTATTCTCACGCGTTATCGAGCCAATTGCATTCTAAATCGAATATTATCCACATTTTAGACTGTTGTGCCATCTGTATTACATCCTACGTCAAGGAAACTTACTGAAGTCACATTTACCTCATCGGAGTTATTACCCATTTATAATTGTCGATTTTGGTACCAAAACTCAGCGGAATACACGACAACTAGCTGATTTATGTAACGTCCCTGAACTTTTATTTTATGTTACTAATTTATAAATTATTAGTGTTACATTAACTTTTGGATGTAATAGCTTTATTGCTAATTTTTGGTTAATATACTTTTTGGTCCACCACAATTATTTGGTGAGCCTCGTGTTTATCCTCCGGTATCAACTTTCGTCCCATTTTCGAACTCTACTGAAATAATTTAAGTTCAGTTAATACTATCTCAGAATTCAGACTCCAACTTATGGAGCTAATAATCCAAGAGTCTGGTTTGCCCAAATTGAAGCTTTATTCATGGCTAGAGGCATAAGATCTGAGGCAAACAAGTATGCACACGTTGTCGGCGCACTTCCCATAGAGAAAGCTGCTGATGTTGGTGATTTAATCGACCACGTGCCACAGTCGGAACCGTATGATAAGTTAAAGGCATCAGTGATTCAACGCACCTTGATCTCAGGTGAGAAAAGGCTGCAACAATTGTTAACATCTTGTGACTTGGGAGATAGGAGACCCCCTCAACTTCTCCGCCACATGAAACAACGTGCCTGTCCATTCAAGCTGGACAAAGCCCTTCTAAAACAAATGTGGTTACAAAGATTACCACATAGTGTTAGACAAATTATTATTTTCTCAGGGAAATCCGTTGCCCTTGACGATTTGGCCGACATGGCGGATAAAATGAAGGAAGTCTACCACGACAATCACAGTGTAAACTCTTTGCAACCACCTGAACCAGCAGATATCAGTTGTTTAGCCTCCATCCAAAGGCAGTTAAAACAATTAAAGAGCCAGCTAGCTTCACTACAGACAACAATTGCAACCGTCCAAGCCAGACAATTGAGATCCTCTTCCAAACGGAGATCTTTCTCTAGACAACGGTCTCAGTCACCGAATCAAACATCCGGAGTTTGTTGATATCACCAAAAATACGGCACCAAAGCACAGCGTTGCACATGACCGTGCACATTTTCTGCAGTGGACACAGAAAATGAGGGAAACGGTCCGACCAGACAGTGATGGCGGCGCCTGTTACTGATCACTACCCGAGCCGTCTA